AAAAGTGGCGGTGCTGTTGCCCGCGCCACCACTTGGACAAACGCCAATCCCGTAGAATTCTACACATAGTTCCTCTTCGCTTTGTGTTTCAAGCTTTTATTACTGGTAACGATCAGCAAAGTCCACAAATATGGTGCGCTACTCAGCAAACATGCAGTTTGCTAGTTGGTTTGCACGGGAGTGCAATACTGCAGCACTAACAACATTCACGTAACGTTAATCACAGAACGTACTGTACACCAACGATTTTGTATGTCTGCACTCGGTCTGTGGACTACCGTATCGACTCAGATAACAGCCATCTATGTGCGTGTGTCTGGGTAGGGGGTATAATGTGTTAGTACTTTATTGTGGTTTCCATCCTTGTAATGAGAAGTGATTAAGTTTAACAGTTCAACAGCTTTTTCTCCTTTGTTCATACATCGATGGGGCGCAGTCATTTCGTGTTGGTTGTGTGAGCATGTTCAGCTCGAGGTTGGAGCTGAACGAGGTCCAATGAGCTGTGGTGAGGTGGGTTAGCTGCTGCTAGAGCGATGAAAAACCCAAAATGACTGCTACTTCTCTACAATCACCGATTGAGCCTCCATGGATAAGAACGAGGACGACCTTGGTTCTCTTGATAACGGACTCGATTCCTGAACACTGAAAAGCTGCCTTCCGTCGGATAACCATCCGGAAACCTTCCATTTTTTTTTTTACTGGAACCAGCCGGCTGAAAACTAACCAATTTTATTTCATTGGCAAAAAGATTGAACTGCGAAGAACATGTTTAATATTACCGAAAAAGGACTCGGCAATGTTCATTTGATAAGAAACGTTCTTCGCAGTTCAATATGCCCTTACGGATTGTTGATTTACTCGTTAAAACTCTCGTTTGTTGAGCGTTATTGTCGATGCAAATACTTGCAATCCACTGGGTAAAAAATTGCAAAATGTTAGAATTATAGTGGAACGCACGAAAAACTCGAATTGAACGATTTTCTTATCGATATTATGATTTTTTTGAAATAGAGATGCTAGTATCACTTTGTGCGCCAGTAGTCTCCTCTGTTCCGATGTATATGCCAGTCGAACTATTAACAATTCGAAATAAACTTGTCCTTGAAGTCAGTGCACATAGAAAAAGCCTTTATTAAAGGGACCTGTTGAAGTACCAATTCGTAGGTACTGGGCTTTTTACGAGATTATTTACGCCTCGTGTAATTACGCCGTATCTCGTAGAATATCGACTGGTTAGGATTGATTGTTGGTAGAATACCTGGTAGAATAGCCTCACTTTCCTTTTGGTAAAGCCACTGAAGAGGCCCCGGCAGGGGCCGAAACACGTCTGGCACGCGACCAACATGATTGTCATTTCACCTACGTTTCCTCGCTTCAATAGGACCGAAACAACGAGACATACCCATGAAATCTGCGCGTTGCCACGACAACCGAATGTCTTCAGTGGGGCACCTGGTACGGGGTTTTCCATTCAAATCATCTAGAAACGGCGTGCTGAAGGCATTCTCGTTAGCTTGCTTGAATAATACAGCACGAAAACCAGTTTTGCTGCAGAGTTAGCTTGCAGCCAAAGCTCACATTCAGTTAAATCGAGTACTGTAGATGTGGTGGCGGAAGCTACGCAAAACCAAACACAGTCACAGTGCCCATGGGGAACGTGTGCCATGGCGATACAGAGTAACCTCCCTTAGCTAACACAGCCCGTGGAACAACTTTTGATCAAGTAAAGCAAGTTGGCAATGTTTTGGCGGTTGGTGTGGTACACATTCCTGAAATATAGTGGGAATTCGAACGAAATATTTCAAATCTAGAAATTTATGGAAATACGCCAGACTCTCCAAGGTCTCTGTTGTGACCCTTTCAGAAGCTGATTTCGGATGAAATCGGCTTATAATGGATGAGCACGTGATTTCATGTCGATATGTTTTACTGATTCCTACTACCATTAGGTATAACCTTTGATTTTGCCCACATATGACTTTTTTTTAATCATCACATGGTATCAGCTTTCAAGTTAGACAGTATTATCCAGGTACTTTACAAAAAACAAGTCTACAAGTTCGGTGGAATCAAATCCTATCAAGTATGACAGGATATCACGATATTTCATCTAAATCTGAGATTTGA